CCTTACTTTCCCGCTTCCTCAGAGGGAGGAAATGCCAGAGAGTGGTATTGGCCTTAATGTCCAACCGTGGGTTAGACCTAGGCCTACGAAATCAGTCCCCTTGAAATGCGCCCCCAGGGCATGTACCTCAAAGTAGAAAATCTCTTGGAGTCAGCAACCTAACGGCCATTCGTCTTCCCAGTTTCAACCTCTCATCATTTTGCGAAACATAGTACATTTAGAGGAGGATACGATTGCGTGGACTGGTACTGCTTTTCTGCTTCCCTATTGTATGACGTGACACATGGCCTTAGACTTGCCATTGGCGCCCACTGAAGCGCTGGCAACGATCGCACGAGCCTTGCCAGACTCAACATCGTAGAATCGACACAGTGAATAACGATTATGGTGAGGAAGACCCCAATCGGCAGGTCGACTTCTCAGTTGAATTCTTCATCATTCCCTATCGAGCTTCTCTTTAGTATGGTTCTAGACAAGTCTCAAGGAAGGGCATTACAACAAGTCGGATTTCAACTTCCAGAGCCAATATTCACGCATGAAAAAGCATGCATTGCCTACTTGCGAGTTCGTTGAAGAACTCGGGTGATCAATGGACCAAATCAATGTTTAACTGATGCTGGTATCGTTATGGTCATGCAGCTTGGGCCAATTGCTCAGATGCAGCCCTCTCTAGGCTCAACGTTATAGAAACGGCTGCAATCAGGTTTGCCCCTCAGAACCCCCTCTTATACATATAATTAGTACTACTACTCCCAAGCAGATATCACACCCATTCCCCAATAAGCTTCCAGACTAGCCCCTCAGATATTTAAAGACGAAGCCAGACCTGAAGACGTTAAAGCAATCAGATACAGCAGCAATAAATTCATGAAATTTAAGAAACGTAAGAGAGGAAGGACCTACCCAGTCGATAACCTCCTCAGAAGAATAAATGATGGTCAGCACACGAAAAACCCAACCCTTAATCCACTCCCTGAACTCCACAGCAGTCAAGAAGGACCTCACCAGGACGCCACGTGCCCCTTAAGTCACATCACGTCGTGAAATCTCACAGATGAGTCATCATCCCCCTTCATCACCATTACTATCCCACCAGTCATAACAAATAACTCCCTCCCACACAACTCCACACAAGTCCACTCATGTAAAGCCAACTTGCAATCATGCAAAACAGCAATTTCTTGATCCCCTACCTAAATATATATTACTACAAAAGAACGATAAATCAACAAAATCAAAACCATAAAAAATTACAAATTGGAACAAAACCCCACAAAACCGTAGGTGAATGAAAACAGCTGAGAAGATAAATATAAGGAATAACCATAGCAACACCACCCACTCTTCAAATAAGGCATGTAAGCAGCAATGATTAACTCCAGCCTCTCACATTTTCAGAAGATCCTGGCCTGAAAGCGCACCCCAGTGGCAGGTCTCATTCACCTTCGCATGCCGAAAAGAACGTCAAACGCCTCTGACCCCCTAAATCCAATTATATTACATTGTATTACAAATATGCCTGGCATAAAATCGTGTGCCCATCCACTTCATCCCTTTTGTAAAGTGTATTCTCCAGCAGTAAAATAACACATTAGCTCCCATTGCAGGGAACCCAGGTTCGAAACCAAGCATATCATATTTTTTTTCCGAATGCAAGCCCCGTCGTGGGGAAAGGGAGACTCCTACGCAATAGGTAATTTCGTCTGGAGAAGTGGGAGATTTAAAGAACCAAAATGAAGGCCGAACTCGTATCAGCACTTGGAAAAAATTGCGAGATTAGTCGGTTCAGTACTCGACTATTAGTTATTAATATGAGCTAAGAGGATGGCGGGGAGAGTTAAGTCAGGTGAAGCAAGGAAGACCAAGGTAAACGAAGGGACTACACCATTTTTTGGGGGATTTTTCCTTGCTAAAATATCCTGCATGATAGCAATCGTTCCAGAAGTGGCGCGAGCATGTGTACTATAATTGGTATTGGACACGTGAAGCTTTCATTCATACTTCTCTTCTTTCAAGAGAATTTGGGAAAGCATGAAATACCGACTTCATTCCGCTAGGAAGCCTTATAACCAAACTCTACGCAGGTTTTTCCACTTCCTTTACCAATGTTTCAATCTAACTTCCCTGGACACGAGCAGTTTCTTCTGACTTAACGAATGGAAAAAGTAGACAGCATGGGTAGAGAGCGAGAAATGAACACATTGCGTACCGGACATTTACCCGTCGAGCCGCCACTCTGACCTCGCCTTAGTTACCTTAACTAGCGGTACGCAAGGTGTTTAGTGTTCCATCGTAGTCACTCTTATGTTTAAAGAAACGGGCTACACATTGAAAACGGAATGAACATTGAAGCTTTTGACGCGTTGGCTACATGAGAAAGAATAGGACGGGAGCTGGGGAGGCAAGCAGAGGGCAAGGGAAGGATGAGTGCGCGGTTACAGCGAGAAGGGAGAGACAGGAAGTGTTCTTCTGCCTGAACTACTGGGGAAAGAGTGAGCCGAATGCGTCACCACCGGCCCCTTCTATGCGCATCCTTGTGACGTCGCTGCAATCGTGCATATTCACGACCTCCTCTATGCTGTGGCTTGGTTGGTACTTTCATCAGACATACCCTGCGAATCTGGCTGTCAATACACCCACAGATTCTGAAAGTGAAACTTTCTTTACAGACGATCACTCTAATTTGTGAGGAATGCTCAATACCGTGGAATTTCAAGATGAAGCTAATCGAAGTCGTTGAATCAGCTACCTGCTTTAGATTTATTAAAATACACCATCAATAAAAACTACTTGTTTGCAGGACATCCTGAAGGAACTTACATATCGGACCTTTTTTAGTAGCGGAGTCCAATCCGCTGGGGAAAATTGGCCCGCGAAGCCCTAATCCACAGGAAATACTCTTGAGTTTCCCTAAAATAGTTTTCTATAATATTAGTGACTGGCACACGATTCCTGTGGGAGTGAGCTGTGTGGCCCCTTAGCCGAAAATGCTAGGCTCCATTGTTCCAGAGCATTTCTTCAGTGGTGCACCTATGGAGCTGTGCAAACGGAAGTTAGAGGGTGATGGTAGGAAGGTGTACCTTTCTGCTTCAAGAGAACTTGCGCTAACTCTTCCTTTTGACAGTTTGCAAATAACTTCAGGGAGTTTAAACCGTAATTTTCATGGAGAGACCCATGTGTAGTTCTGGGAGAGACAGCAAAACAATCTCGAGATTCTATATTCTTACGATCCAAGCAAAGTGAATGTGCACCGGGAATCCCGGCCTTGGCCTGTATGTGAATGTCCCACAGTTGGCGACAGTAATGACCAAACCCCCGTCCAAATTAGTCGGCGTCGAGGAAAATAATGAAGAAAATTTGAAGCATCCTCACGAACAGTCACAGCAGGATATGTTTTCTCCCCTTCCGCCCTCCTTCAATTAGCCCTGTCGCAGCAGGCGAGGGGAGATATATCCCACACCGGGGGCCGAGAAAAAGCCACTCCCAACGCAGTTGAGATGGATGAAGTTAACATTCTAGCACCAAACACCTTTAACATAGAAGTACCCCAGAAGAACCTACAAACATTATACGGCCACAGCCAACCAAGACGCAGCCAGTCTCCTTGTGACCATCCTGGCAATGACGCCCCACCCGCCACTTTCCTTTGAATTCATGGGAGAGGCAAGCCTTTTTCTTTCATTGACCCTTGGGAACAACATATCAATACTTCGGCGATGACAGAACAGGACTCGACCTCCCCAATTCACATCAGTCATCCGGGAAATATGATCGACACAACCACCCGGACCCTTTGGGTTATGGTTTAAAACGACAGACGACTTATCGACACAAGACCTAGGCTTGACATATCCATCTCGATTCCAAATTCCGTATCAACTCGTCTCTCTCCCCCGAGCCGTGCCAGGAACCGAGAGAGAACCGAGAGAACCTCACTTTTCTGATAACACTCTGGCTGTTCCTGGAAATAAATTTTCAAACACATTTTGGTCTATTATCAATAGTAAACCATTGTTTCGCAGAGAGACAGCGCAATTCTTATAACACAGTGGATGTCGTAAGGGCTTTTTTTTAAACAGAGAAAGTGTTAAAATATATACTAGCCGCAGAAAACGCAGCGAAAAGTCCTTAGCGGTCCCTTCCACGGATTCGAAATGTATTAGAATCTCTTTCTGAAAATGAAGATAATCCTTGTACTCAATATAGGCTTCCCTCCCATGGTCCCTTCCACGTTTCGCAGTTCGCGCAGACTATAGGCCGGCATGCCTCTGCCCTTCCAGTCCATAGGCTAGGCAGGATGGTGTGAGTACTTATCTATGATGTAATTCGACGTGCGCAATTGTGTGATGACCAGGGATGAATGCGAGGATACATATGCCGAGAGATGAATGGAGGCAGCGTGAGCCTGTGTTAATTACTGAATGGAATGAGGCTAAGACTTTGCAGAGAGCAGCAAGAGAGCCGTTTCGTACGATCTTGGACATATGCATATGGGATGCACCGTTGAGCACTGCCAGGCTCATCGTTTGTAAGCGGTGAGAGGCAGATTTAGCCATAGACTTGGGCCCCATCGCCTCGTGCCGAGGCTTCCTCCAACCATGGAAGATGATGTTGAAAATCCATTCCATCACTTCCAGAATCGAGATGAAGGACAGACCAGTGTAGAGACCCAGTATCCCTCCCAACATACCGATGAAGGTCGACCACTAACCCATAAACAATGTTGCGGACCGAATAGTGACATTTTCGGGAATCCCAACTTTCGGACCTATGAACGAATTCAACTCACGGGATATTGAAGGTGTTCCATAATTATCTCCACAGCAAAGGTCTCATAATAGACGTTCACCGCTGCAAGATTTTCTCTGCATAAAAAGGCAATAGGCATGAGCCATTAGAACAAGAAATGGGTTTCATATCACAATCCGCGTGTCGTCTACTTAATGGCGACCTGCAAACACTAGTATCGTCATTCAAGCATTGTTCAATCAACAAAAAGTTTAAGCGGAAATAGCAGACTTCGGATGTAGACAGAAAGTCCTGTTTTTCAGCTCGTTGTCGCTCATGTTTTTCCTTTTCGCCTCTGCCATCCAGGAGATGAAATGCAGGAGTAACACCTCGTTGCGACTCATCTGCACTGAGTTGGGCGACCAGGAATACGTCTCCTCTCTGAAATAAAATTACCTATTTAATTTTTTTTTCTTTTCACGTTCAGATTGTCTATGCAGATGGACGCTTACAAGCAATTTACAGGAGGACAATCGCAGAACCCTTCTGAGAAGTATTCTTCGCGGATCCTTTTCATTTTCAATACGTCGCATGCACCCCATCTCACTGAATAACATGAAAAAGTCTATCATTTTATCGGCTAACATGTAGATGACATGGCAAGTCTTAACGATTATGCATCTGAATCGCTCATGAAATTCATCTTAATCAGATAAGCGAAGTTTGCTCAGAGGAAGAGAATAATATAATTTCTTACAATGGCACGTTTTATGGACTTTTAAGAACCCTCGCCAGCCGATCTCATACCCGATGCAGCATAGGTCGGTAGAGTCATTTTTCATCCGGTCTGCAAGACACATTAGCCGGCAAACCTTATTGAACTAAGAGTAGACGAAGAAAAAACGCAATGACAATGGTTTTTACGTATGCTGTGAGCTCAAATTCAAGAAGCCTTTCTCACATCTTTAATGTATTTATACATGTATTCAAGGTCGAAAATGTTCATGTCAAATCGCTTCTCGAGGTAGGTATCTGGGGCACAATTTCCACCTTCGTCTGGAAGAAGGCGCTGCAACACCACCTTCTTGGTGGTGACGTGAGAAATCGTTCCCCAATTTACCTCATATCCTTTTTCGAATTCATCATCGTATTGTATTCCAGAAGGGTGAATTAGGAGAAGAAATCCGTTCGCGACACGAGATGTCAGTATCAGTTGAAGTCCATCCTGGACAATGCAATTCAGAAAAAATAAACATGTTAGTTCCACTCCTTCGGGGCAGAGTCTCAAATGAGTGTCACTTTGATTCTCATGCCGTTGATTGAAGATGATTCCCCCTTTTTCCTGCGGTGGACTTCCCTTGCTCCGTTGAAGTTGAAAATGAGACATCTACGGTATGGTCCCAACTGGAAATCTCTGGGAAAATCCACGATTTCAAATTTCATATCAATTGTTATGTTACTCAATCTTTCTGTTTCCTAGAAAAACTCACTTCCTCCATCATGTTTCCAGTAACGTTGTACTTAGTTTAAACTATTGTAAAGGACTTCTTACTAACGTAAGGATATTCTCTCAGGCAAACGCTATACTTAAATTTCAATCTTAGAGTAAATGAAGTTGGGCGATCCATAAATTTGAAGTGAATCGGGTGAAATAGCGAAATCCACTTACGAATGTTTGCATGTTTCCCCGTTGAAGGTGCAATATAGTATGTTCTTCTGAAGTTCTTCAAGAAGTTCTTGCTTTTCACGAGCTTCCTAATCCGGATTTTTATTAATCCCATCGAAACCACCGGTTTCATCTGAATTCGTCCGAAATTCTGCTTCACTCAACAATTCCAAAAAAGTAGTCCTCTCCTTACTTGACGTTGAATTACCTACAAATGACAATTCAAATTTTCATTATCGTTAGAAATTGTATAACCATTAAGCAGGCAGATTTAGAGGGAATTTTTAGTGTAATAGTGTTTTCTATTTTCCCTCATGAAAGAGGAAAATAATATTCTTCGACGCTGGACGTTGCAAGAAAAAAAATTCTATTACAACAAAAAACTGCACAGTTGGCTTTCACAAATTGCAAATTGATTAATATTTCTTTAATTGGCTCATTTTTGGAGCATCGAATCACTTGCAACTATGGGATGCGTTGCCATCAGGACCTTACCAAGATGACACAGGGGTTTTTAGATTAGTTCTGGAATATATGAACCATTTTTTCCCGTCCAGTGCTTTGCACAACAGAGCTTTAGGACCAACATGCTCAATTCAGACACATTCCACTCGCATGACCATAAAATCGTAGTACGTGAAGGAGGAATTAGCAATTATGTAATGGCAGGTGCACGTCATTGTAAATAATTAAGAAACACAATTAACTTACTTTCGGCATATGGTTTGATGCATACCTCCTGCAATCCATCCTTGTCCATAATGCATTCAGGTTCGTAGAAGGAAGGAAACAGATCTGCTTTTGTGTGTTGGCATGTACTATTTGATTGTGAGCGCTCATTGATCAACGAATGATGTAAATGAGGAAGAGATGGAACTCGCATGAGGCTCGGAACATTTTCGAAGGAAAAATATTGCGGANTATGTTACTCAATCTTTCTGTTTCCTAGAAAAACTCACTTCCTCCATCATGTTTCCAGTAACGTTGTACTTAGTTTAAACTATTGTAAAGGACTTCTTACTAACGTAAGGATATTCTCTCAGGCAAACGCTATACTTGAATTTCAATCTTAGAGTAAATGAAGTTGGGCGATCCATGAATTTGAAGTGAATCGGGTGAAATAGCGAAATCCACTTACGAATAGTTGCATTTTTCGTCGTTGAAGGTGCAATATAGTATGTACTGCTGAAGAAGTTGCTTTAAACCATCTTCCACATCCGGATCTTTTTTAATCCCATCGAAACCACCGGTTTCATCTGAATCCGTCCAAATTGTTGCTTTACTCAACAATTCGAAAAAAGGAGCCCACTCCTTACTGGACGTTGAATTACCTACAAATGACAAATATATTTTTCATTATCGTTAGAAATCGTATAACCATTAAGCAGGCAGATTTAGAGGGATTTTTTAGTGTATTAGTGTTTTCTATTTTCCCTCATGAAAGAAGAAAATAATATTCTTTGACGCTGGTCGCTGCAAGAAAAAAACAACCCCATTAAAACCAAAAACTGCACAGTTGGCTTTCGCAAATTGCAAATTGATTAACATTTCTTTAATTGGCTCATTTTTGGAGCATCGAATCACTTGCAACTATGGGATGCGTTGCTATCAGGACCTTACCAAGATGACACAGAGGTTTTTAGATTAGTTCTGGAATAAATGAACCATTTTTTCCCGTGCAGTGCTTTGTACAACAGAGCTTTAGGACCAACATGCTCAATTCAGACACATTCCACTCGCATGACCATAAAAATCGTAGTACGTGAAGGAGGAATATGCAATGCTTTAATGGCAGGTGCACGTCAGTGTAAATGATTAAGAAATACAATTAACTTACTTTCGGCATATGGTTTGATGCATAACTCCTGCAATCCATCCTTGTTCATAATGCAATCAGGCTCGTAGGAGGAAGGAAACAGATCTGCTTTTGTGTGTTGGCATGTGCTATTCGATTTTGAGAGCTGATTGATTAAGAAATATAAATCAAGGAAACTGAGGTCTTTTGTCGGGAGTCTCGGAACATTTTTGAAAAAAGTATTTTCCTTCGGACAAATAGTGACAGCAGGAAAAGGGAGGGTATCCTTTACCTCCACCTGGATTGGGATTCATACAGGGAATCTATCAGTCCCTGCTGACAAAAATATGCGGATATTAACACATCCGCTGCCAAAGACGGCGATAAGAAGACGGCGTGAAAATAGTTTAATTACTTGTTTCTTCAAGAGATTTCAAAATCTTCACTATACATTACAGTAGTTATGCTGAATATTTTATTCAATTATATCCTTCGAAGTGAACGTGTTAAGCAGACGAATGAATGGATTTAGGGTGATGTACATTTGTCGAAGTAGTCTTCACCCCCGATATGAACGCCGTGAGTACGTCGATGATTCCGGAGACCATGTAACCCGACGCGATGACGAAGACGAGAAGCCAGACGGTCTTCCTGAGGCGAGAGGAGTCCGTATACGCAGAACGATTCAGCCCCTGAATGATCAGATTCTTTTACGTTTTGTCGAAGGATCAGTCCATGTCTTTTTAAGAATGCCAGTTATATTGTACAAGTTCTAATTGCTGACCAGGCGTTAATAACTTTAAAAATGCATAGAAGCCAATCCGATAACACGTGACGTGCGAGATAACTAACATCGGCAAATGAAAACCTGTCAAAGCTTATTTAAGGCAAAAAGTTCCATTCCATTTCTCGGAATATTCAGAATTTTTTACATGTCTAGTAAGGTTTGCAGTGGTTCACATATCCAAATCAGGATGATTTATCAAAGCGATACATTTTTGCAGTGCCAACCTGGCTCGGGGAACACTGACGTTAAATTTGCAAAAAGTCACAGATATTTAAATATACCCCACTCTCCGCAAATTTTATCAAATACAACCTTTTCATCAATTTTATAGCGGATTTCTTCGTGAGACGCAGAAATAAATAATTACTTGTGCAAAACTGAAAATAAAGACGACTCACGTGTCCTGAAAATCTCTGAAGGAATTTGACGGTGACTGGACCGACACCAACCGTTTCTCCCTCGTCTTCAAACTGGATGTCTGCTTCTCTGCCGTTGACCTCCTGAGCGATGGAGACTTTCTTCCCCATTACCATTTCCTTGACTGAAACTAAATTCTCGCACTATGGTCTCAGTCTCATGTAAATGCAATCCAATGCTGTGCCGCCTGTCTCCCAAAGAACCCTAGCTTCCTAAATGCGAGTGCAGCTGGTCTCCGAAAGACTTTGTCGAAGGTGTTCTCTCTGTTCCGCTTTTAATGGGCGGGTTTCTGTATAGCGCATGAGCGCGTAGCGCTAAGGAAAATGAACCGCCCTTAGTATATTATGAAAATAAAAACTCAACCACAGGAAACTATAAAAGAAATTTGGGAATAGGAGAGGGGTGTAGTTGGAAAGGTGGTAAAACGAACTTCAACAAGGGTGGGATCATACCTAGCCTCGTATAAAAGCCAGAATATCTTTCCAATAATATAGAAAACAAATTGCCGTGAGTTTTTTTTTAAATATCTACTGCCGAAAATAATTAATTCCGAAACAATTTCTTTTTCGGATTCCACTGTCAACTGTAATTTAAATGTAAAAAAAAATTGATCGCAGCGGAAGCAAAATATTAACTTTTACATTTATTCTTTCAGCTGGGAATGCAACATTATGAATAATGGTCCACTCCTTCCGTTTTTTCATGCCAGGATCGGTCCAATTTCTGCAGGTTTTTCAGATCTCCTTTCCGCATTAGTCACATAACACTTTGCATACCGCTCACGGAGATCTCCCTTTTTGAGTCCATTCTCGAGCCCTTTTGCTCAACCTATGGCCGAGAAAGTCCTAGCCTGGTAGGCATCGAGCGTTGAGCTAAGGTAACTGAGGCTTAGGTCAGAGCGACGGATTGACGGGGTAAAACATTCGGTACGCAATGTCTAAAGGATGGACCACAAATTTTATGAATGATTTACGTCGGGACAATTCGGTGGCCAGTCGATCATTCCGGATGAATGCCGTTCTAAACATTTATTTCGTAACTTTTTCTGGCTCGGATCGTTGTTCTATTTGAATCGTTAGGGTGTAAACTGTGTCCTGGCAAAAATTATTTTTGAAATCCTTAGATTGTGTGTGGTACACTTTTCACCGTTAGGATAATTTTTAATGAACAAAAAGATTCATGCATTTCGGAAACGGCTCAGGAAACACCTCGGTTCATTATGGATGAGTTAAATATTTGTGTACTATTATATACCCTTTTCACGTTTGGTCAAATATAATCTTCAAATATAATTTTATAGTGGAACCCTCTGTGAGGACCAGTAATAAATTAGGTTATGTGCCAATAAAACGTAAATGAAGACGACTCACGTGTCCTGGAAATCTCTGTAGAAATCTCTTTCTGACCGGACTGACTTCAACCATTTCTACTTTGTCCTCAAACTCGATACCTGCTTGTCTGCCATTGACCACCGGTACAAATGAAACTTTCTTCTTCATTATCGTTTTTTCGATTGAAACAAAATTACTGCATTGTGGCCCTAAGTAGGTGCAATCTGATGCTGTGTCTCCAGTGTCTTGCCCCGCTTCCAAAATCGAGTGTAGCCGATCAATTACAGAGAAATGGCTAAGGAATGCTCCTTGTTCCAGTTCTAATAGGCAGGCTTCTATGTAACGCAAGAGCGCGAAGGGGTTTTAAAAAATGCAACCACTGCTGCTGGGTTTTCTTATCCCATGATAAGAAAATCTCGGCAACTGGAAACTATCAGCGAAATTTGGGAATGTGGAGGGGGATTGTTTAGAAAAGGGCAAAACTCACTTCACCAAGGGAGGGAGCATAGTCAGCTTTGTGTACAAATCAGGATATGTATACAGTAAAGGGAAAAAAATGCCGCCAGATTTTGTTGAATTTCTACTCTGGGGAATATGAATGTTTAATATAAAAATTTTTGCTCAATATTTCCCATGCAATAATCTATAATTGATAGGATTTCTCTTTGAATCAATACGAGTCACCCTTCTTCCTATGTCGTCGATGGGATCAAATGAATTACGGTCGACTTGTCGATTTTCGTCATTTTTGACGCAACAATCGGTGAAATTCCTGTCAATTTGCTGGCCTCCGTTTCTCCACGCGAAGTAGACCCAGGGATACAAAATCAACAGAGACATAACATCGTATACCGGAAATTACCGGAGTGATCATTTTGGCCATCATAGAGAATCTGTGAATTTGGGTTAATGAGCAACTTTCCATGGTATTGTGAGTCTGCGTCCGACCTTCTGTAAAAAGGTGCCTTTCTTTGAAGCTGAACTTGAAAGTTACGCACATGTCGTGTATGTGATACAGTGAGATACTTTTCCAGATAATTCGAGATTGATTTTTTTCATAAGAGGTGTATTTATCAGCTGGGATCATGGTCAGGTAATGCTTGGAAGTTCTGATGAGTCACTCGTGCTCCGAACAATGCGAATATTTCCATTAGTTGGGGAATGTGGCTCTTCAAAGAGGCCAAGAACGCTAAAAATATTTTTAAGATTTGTTTTGAAATATCCTGAGGTCCTTGGCTCAATGCCAGGGGGAAGAGCCTCGAGTTAAGTTCAAGGAAGAGTTGAAGAAAATAAAAGAAAATGAAAGAAAATTCTCTGCTCTTGGGAATCCTCCCTTGAATGGTATATTAACCAGGAATGAGCTTTGACTGATATGCCCTCCTCAAATGATTGCAACTTTTGTGCGATAAGGAAAGAACAATAGAATTGGAGGATAAAAAACTGGATAACACATGCAGTTCGCCGAATATGATGAATAATCCATTCGCGGAGAGAAGTCTCGAAACATATATTTCATAATTGAGGAGCTGAATAGGCAACATCGTTTGCGCTGGACTTCGCAGCCGACATTTTCCATCATCCCACTTTTCCTCGTCTTTTGTTCTTCTGCTTTCCGAGAAAACACTTAACTGGGCTTCTTTCTTTCAGAGAACCATCTTCGCCTAACCTTTTGTTTGCTTCACCTGTCCGTCAACTCCTCACGCCTCGTCTCACAAAGAAAGGCCTCATGCGGATGCATCAATAATGCAACGTTCGCACTCTCGTCACCAAGTTTCTTCATTGTCGTACGAATTTTGGAATCCTATATGCAACATGCACCTTTCCTTATTTCATTGCGGCTTTGCAACCAATGAATCTGAAGTAACCTGAATACCTGTGGGGATGCCAGATAATGACAAAATTGACCGACCAACGGCAATTTCTTGCGTATCCTCTTAATACCAAGGGGAATGGACGTCCCAGTAGAATGTGCCGCAGAGCATGTACACCCAAGTCGAAAATTTCCTGGAGCCTGCAATGTAACAACTATTCCTCCCCCGAATTTCAGCCTCTCATCGTTTCTAGAATACGATTATAATTAGCGTCAGTCAGTCACACACGATCATCAATTTATGTTAGATTGCGTGAAAGAAGAAAATATTTTGAGCGTAGCGTGGACCGATATTGCAGCAATTCTGCTTTATTGCGGCATGATTTGTCACACGCCCTTCGATTTGACATTGTATCTGGTGAAGCACGAAGCACCGCTAGTGTTCAATGAAGCGCTGGCAACCATTGCACGAACTTTGCAAGACCCGACATCGCAATATCGACTATGTGAATGACGAACATGAAAAGGATGATGCCTCTCAGAAAGTCGAATTTTCAATCAAGTTCATCAACATTCCCAATCCTACGTGCCACTCTCTACCGTCCAAATGGTTCGGTATTTTCCGACGCTGATTCCTTTTCGAGCTTGCCAACGGTATGACAATAAACATCACTCGGGGAAAGCCAATGCCGTTGACGCCCTGGAATTGAGAATAATGTGATTGCTCTCAGACTGGCATTAAGAGAACTCACGTACGAAACAGAAATTCGCCGAAAGACTCACCTCAATTTACAGTACATTACCAGTACCAGCGTCGCGATGCTTCGAGAATCTCCTAAACATATTTGAGGCGGGTATTGATAGGTAGACACTGCTCAATATTTGTTCATTTGTTTTCTCAAATTTTTTCAGTCGTTTTCTACATTGGTTTTTCCTTGAGGCGGCAGCATACCATTCTGAATACGAAGTCCCCATCGACAAACGCGCATCCCAATGTGATTGTCCATATGTCTACTCCAGTCCAAATTGCTTCCATTTCTCTGGGCACCACACCGTTCGCTTGAAGGGCGCTGCTTCATTTAGCGTAAGACAATGAAGTACTCGGCTTCGATCGATCAGTCGGAATAAGGATGAGAACGGCATGTGCGAAAAATCCGAGTTTGTGGGCCCAAATTAAAACCAACTGTCTGAACTGTCCCCTGATCGAAAGAAAATAAATAAGAAATGGAATGGAGAAGGCAATGGAAGAAATGAGGGAGATGTGGTTAGAGCATGCGAATGGCCTATGCCCATTCCCTGAAGTCTGTCCTAGGCCATGGACCAACCCAAGCGTAAGACTCAGAGGCTAGCACTAGTGGAAGTAGGTCATCTAGCACATAGACTGGCGAAACACATTATTACCCATGATAATAAAATTACTCTGTAGGTTCGTTTCAAGGAAATTTGAAAAGAATTCCACACCCATGTAGAATATCTTTAAAACTGCAGCCCATTGGCAAAAGTTCTCGAAACAGATCCACCAGCGTTTTATGCAGAAGGTCCAAGGGAATATTTGTGTAAAGAGTGCTAAAGTTCCAAGAAAGTACTGTCTGCGCTTTTTCAGCGATATTGATATTGCTCGTTCCGGATGCCGTACAGATGAGGCTAAAAAATTGCAGACATTTGCGTTAGGCATTCGAACTCTGTGGGATCACATATTTAGATTGAATTTGTCATCCCACTCCATAGGAGGTTTCCGTCGATCCTTGTTAGCAAGCATTCAGCGACAGGAGAAGCATGGAGCTGCACCCTATGGAAGTGTGTGCAGTGATGGTTGTCCACAATTTATCATGAGCTTTTTTTATTTAATGAAATTTCCTTTGGCTGGGTATTTCCCTTTCTTGCACTTTATTTTTTAGGACCTTTGAAATGAATCACCTGGTTTGGATGAGAAATTAAAGAAAAATATTTGAGAAATGGTGATAAAATAAAAACGATCCAATCTCAAGGTCAACATGAATTGTCTGATATTACCCTTCCTTTCCTCATCCCTACCATACCTCACCTTGTCCATACCTATTCCCCTCAATGACCACACTCTCTCCATACCCCATCCACCCCCTTCCACACGCGATTCAGAAAAGTCCTCACAATTTCCACACCATTCCACACCCGTTCCACCGTGTGGATGGGTGAGGTTTTTTTTTAGAAGGGAAGGCTCGGTCATCAAGATCCTGCATGAACACCTTGGGATGAGGAAAGTCTGTGCTCGTTGGGTTCCTCACCAGCTGAAACCGCATCGCATGAAAACTCGTGTGGACTGGATATAGGGTTGGTATCAAAGTAGGAATAATCATTCATTCTTCGAAGGAACAGTATCAGCCATATTTGTAAATTTAATATTGTTTAATCTCAAGTTCGAAAGAGGAGAACCTGGGCAACATCCTCCCTAACTGCAGACATTGTGCCTCAGACTAATTATTGCCAATGTTCCTCATCTCTTCCATTCCAGTCAACTCGACATTACGATTTTTCCGCAAGTAACAAAATTCCGGTGCTGCAACCTAGTTTTATTAGTTTTAAATATTAAATTTGCTAACAATTGCTGCGAAGTTCCTGTAACCTTCACATCAATGAATCAGTATCAAACACGAGCGAGTTTGCTTACCCTGCAGGCGAGCAAACTCGCTATGAACGCGCCTTCGACGCTCCTTGTTCAAAGAAAATTATTATTGTATTTTGTTATTCTCTTTTATATGCTCACTCTTAATGATGCGGTGAATTTCCTTCATAATGGGTTTGGAGAATCTCGCGCCTTTGGCACTTGCACCTTGAAATTAAGGTTACAGGTAATACTCATTGCGACGTTATATTACTTCCTCATATCTATGTATGGACGCATGGACTCTGCAGAAGTTCCTTTGTCCAGCTCTATTTAAAGCTACATGCAGTTGTCCACGAGGAAATAGGTCATTCCGTAAATTCCATACATATCTATTGATATTCTTGTTACGTGGTATACGTGAGCGTGAAATTGGCATAAGCCTAAGCGTTCATAAGTGAATCGGGCTTACCCACACTGAATCGCAATGTCTAGAGAAAACCTTCCCGCCTGTTTCCCAGCAATAAAAAATAAATGTAACCCGATCGCATTGGCAAACGTATCAGTACGCAATACCCGAAGTCATTCCGGAATGGTGGAAACAAATACATCATACTTGTGCAATTCAACGCTCCCGTAGAACGGAAGCAGTGAGGTAGCAGTCTGCGATGATCAGTGATTAACATGAGGATACAAATGCGG